GTTATTTTTTACATTTCCAAATACATTTTACTATAGTATTGCAACTTTTTTTTATGGAAGGGGCCCCTGAAATTGCTTTGCCCCAGGCCCCCTGAATCCTCTGGGCGGCCCTGCCAGAGACAGGTTAAGGTCAGGCTGGGATTAGAGATTAGGGTTCCAGGCCAAATGAGAGCTGGAGTTTGTTGGCAGTGAAATCTTGCACACTATTCTTGGGAGATTTCGTCACATCTGAATAAGAGCAGGAAAATAGGCCCCCTCCTGGTTTTGGATCTAACCCAGAAATTAGACTAAAAGGAGAGGTTCAAATCCAGCAATTCAGGTTTATCACATACCTGCATTAAAAAAAAAACACACACACACCTCAAAGGGCTTTGAATTAGATGCTCTGCTTTAGGTCCATCTACAATTAAAATATTTGGGAGGACACAGGTAAAAGGCTAAAGTCAGACCTGGTGTAAGCTGGTTCAGTTCCACTGCAATTTACAAAGGATCTGAATTTCTTCACTCAAAGTTTATTCCTCTTTTCGCTGTCTGGAAATGGGAACTGCAGGCACTTTAATAGATAAATGTTCTTGTTTCTCCGGGGTTCCGTTACCTTCTGTCCAAATGCCATTTGGTAACTTTTACAGCAATACTCTTTGGTGAATCACAAGTGATATTCTGGCTGCTGTGATACAATAGGGGTTCTAGTTCATTCTCCGCTCCACACAAGGAATCCCACTAGCATCATAAAATATTCTGCTGCTTCAAGACACCAGCTGAAACTGCCTATGCCCTACACCAATATCAGTCAGCCTTTTCTGAAAGTATGAACCCTATAGACCAGTGGCTCTTAACCTTTCTAGACTACTGTACCCCTTTCAGGAGTTTGATTGGTCTTGCCTACCCCCAAGTTTCACCTCATTTAAAAACTACTTGCTTACCAAATCAGACATAGAAATACAAAAAAGTGTCACAGCACACTATTCCAGACAAATTGCTTACTTTCTCATTTTTACCATAATTATAAAATAAATAATTGACAATATTTATATTCCACTTACATTTCAGTGTGTAGTACGGGGGTAGGCAACCTATGGCATGTGTGCCGAAGGCAGCACACGAGCTGATTTTCAGTGGCACTCACACTGCCCGGGTCCTGGTCACCGGTCCGGGGGGCTCTGCATTTAAATTTAAATTAAAATGAAGCTTTTTAAACATTTTACAAACCTTATTTACTTTACATACAACAATAGTTTAATTATATATTATAGACTTATAGAAAGAGACCTTCTAAAAATATTAAAATGTATGACTGGCACGCGAAACCTTAAATTAGAGTGAATAAATGAAGACTCGGCACACCACTTCTGGAAGGTTGCTGAACCCTGGTGTAGTATATAGAGCAGTATAAACAAGTTGTTGTCTGTATGAAATTCTAGTTTGTACTGACTTCCCTAGTGCTTTTTATGTAGCTTGTTGTAAAACTAGGCAAATATCTAGATGAGTTGATGTATCCCTGGAAGACCTCTGCGTACTCCCAGGGGTACATGTACCCCGGATGAGAACCACTGCTATAGACCAAACAGGAGGGAATTCAGTGTAATCAGTTAACATCTAATATTCTTTTACTCATAGAAACTTACCAGAAATGCACATGGCAATGTGTTCTTTTTTGATGTTGTTATATTGCAAACTCCAAATGCTAATTAAAATGGGAAGCGATGTGTGTCAGCAAAATGCTTTGTACTGAGATGGTTAGTGTTTCTCAAATCCTGAAAGAGCTGCATATATCTGGTGCAGAGGGCAGGCCAGATTAACCCACACCACTCAGTGTGGTGCTCTGTCTCCCTCTAGTGATGGCTGGGTCACAGATGAGGTTGAAGGACCTGCTACAGCCTTGACTAAGGGTATGTCTACACTACCCACCAGATCGGCAGGCAGCAATCGATCCAGTGGGGGTTGATTTATCATGTCTAGCCTAGACACGATAAATCAACCCCCGAGTGCTCTCCCATCGACTCCTGTACTCCACCGCCGCGAGAGGCGCAGGCAGAGTCGATGGGGGAGCAGCAGCAGTCGACTCACCGCGGTGAAGACACCACGGTAAGTCAATCTAAGTACATCGACTTCAGCTACGTTATTCACATGGCTGAAGTTGTGTAACTTAGATCGATTCTCCTCCCCTCCCCCCAGTGTAGACCAGGCCTAAGAGAGTGGGTCTTTTAGCTCAAGCAGTAGAGAGAGACTCCTGTGTTAAGATCCAGACATATCAGGTTTGATCCTCACTGCCGATGGCCTATCCACTGGTGCGACATTGCACAAGGGTGAATTTCAGCCAAAACAAAATAGCACAGACTGAGTTTCCCTTCCCTACTCCAACTGGGCACTCTCTTGAGAACAGGAAAAGATTAATTGCTTTTGTGTTCTTTACCCTGCAGAGTAAACCAGGAGAAAATAAAGCAGCGACAGTCTATACTCCCACCGCCTACAGGGCCAGCTCCTATCCCTATCCAGCACGAGATGCGAGGCTCACCAATGAACCACAGGAACCGGGTGGCTCCCCCACCAGAGCATAATGAACCAGGTACTGGAGTCCTTCAATGGCTCTGTAATATGAATGTGTGACTAATGCAAACAGCCATGCAGGCTGACTCCCATCCTGGACCTCTGGAACTGCCCTGAACCCATTTTGGGTCTGATGTCGTCATAACACGAGAAAGCAAATGTCATTTCACGGAGTTGCAAAGTGGTCTCCGTAGAACTGGAAAACAAACACCCTTTGTTTATGCATTTCAAAAATGCAACCAATTGTGCATATTTCTACCTGCCAGGATAGCAACTGGTAACCTGAGCAGTGTAAGTGGGCTCAATGAATCAAAGGCTTGGAAGCTGTTTTTGAGATCATTTGATTATCATTTGTATTATGCAGGGCTGGCTTTAGCAAGAGCGGGGCCCGATTCCTGGGGGTGGGGCTTGATGCTGGCAAGCCCCGCCCCCAGGAATCGGGCCCCGCTCCCGCCGGGGTCACAGGGCTTGGGTCCAGGCCAGAGCCACTGGGGCCGGGGCCGGGGGTGCTTGGCCGGCACTGGGCCGGGTGCGGGCCGGCGCACTCTGCCGGGGCCCGGGCCAGTGCTGCGGGCCTGGGCCGGTGCGCTCGGCCGGAATCGGGGCCGGCTCCCCGTGGCCCGAGCCGACCGGGCCGGAGTTGCTTGGGCCGGGGGTGCTCAGCCGGCGCCAGGGCTGGGCCAGAGCCGCAGGGCCGGGGCGACACACTCGGCCAGAACCGGGGTCGGCGCCCCGTGGCCTGAGCCAAGCCAACCCGACCCGGAGCCACTCAGGCCGGGGCC